TGGCTGGGTAGGTGCATGCACCAGAGCCAGGCACACAGAGCAGGACTCCCTCCCTCCAGCAGGGGGAGCAGTGACCCCCCCACCCACACACACACACTCAGCCCCACACATGTGCACAGCCCCTTGTCCCCATCCTCTGCCCACAAGCTGGTCTCTGTGAAAGGAACCGTCCTCCCTCCCCGTCCTAGGGGACTGAGCCCCAGTGGGGTGGGACGGGGGCTGTGGAATCATCCCAGCCGTATCTCCCCTCAACCCTCTCCCCACAGCTGTGGGTGGTTCTGGTGTGTGGTGGGGGTGGGGGGGAGAATACAGCAGGGAGCCCCGGGCTGGCCCCACGGTGGCCTCTAGGCACAGACTGCGCCCCCTGCTGCCATCGTCCCAGGGCAGAGAATCCAGCCCTGCAGCAGGAATACAGGCACTGCTGCGGGGAGAGACGCCCGGCCCCTGGCTGCCCTGCTCACCCCCTCCTCAGCCTGGCCCTGCTCCGCTCCCAGAGCCAGACCTGGGCACGCTGGTGGCCGTGGCTCTGAGACAATCGGAAACATCCCAGTGGATGGACAGGCTGGGCTGGGGGGAGGGGAGGGCCTGGAGGCTGAGCCGCTCCGGGCCAGGGCTGAGACCCAGAGAGACCCTGTCCATGGGGGGCAGGGGGCTGGCACTGTCCCAGACCAGTTCCCAGCTCGCTGCCCCCTTGGGCAAGACCTCTGCCTGTGTAACCTCAGGCCCTGCCCAGCTCCCCTGGTGCCTCCTCCATGCCCCCAGCGGCAGGACCCACCTTTGCACAGGGTCCTATTCCTGTTGGAGGGGACGTAGCCAGCCTGGCACTCACACCAGTAGCTTCCGTTGGTGTTGACACACGTGGCCTTGGGGCCGCAGATATCTGGGGTCTTCTTGCACTCGTCGATGTCTGAGAGGGGAAAGCGGAGGCGGGGGGTGTCACACACAGCATGGCTGGGGGCGCACGGGGGGCGAATGACCATGGAGGTACCCCCCATCGATTGCAGGGGGCGTGGTCTGTCGGTCAGTCTGTCTGCTCCATCTAACCCCTATTCTATTCTCCTTTCTTCCCTGCTACGTACAGTGCCCCTATCCCTGCGGAGCAACCCCTCCCCCACCCACCAGATCAGAGGGGCCCAACCTTTTCCAGACCAGGACCCTGTGATCCCCTTCCTGCACCAGCCCTCACAGAGGAGGGTTAAGGTGGGGGGGCGATCAGCTAGTTAAGCTGCAAAGGGGAAGTGACTTAGGCTGCGTGCAGGGCGCTAGCTAGAAAGAAGCTCACCTGGGAGGGGACAGTTGGGGCTTCTATAGAGCCCGAGGGCTGGGCCCAGTGGTGGGGGCCTGAGGCAAGGGGGGCTAGGAAGCCCTGAGGGGGGTAGGAGCCCCGGAGGAAGAGTTTCGCTAGCAGGGATAGGAGAGGGGGGTCTGACTTTGAAAGGCTCCCGCAGAATGGGGATCACAGCGTGACCTGGCCGGATGCCAGAGACACGGGGAAGCCAAGAATCCGGGAGCTATGATCATAGAATATCAGGGTTGGAAGGGACCTCAGGAGGTTCTAGTCCAACCCCCTGCTCAAAGAAGGACCAATTCCCAACTAAATCATCCCAGCCAGGCTTTGTCAAGCCTGACCTTAAAAACCTCTAAGGAAGGAGATTCCCCCACTTCCCCAGGTAACCCATTCCAGTGCTTCACCACCCTCCTAGTGAAATAGTGTTTCCGAATATCCAACCTAAACCTCCCCCATTGCAACTTGAGACCATTACTCCTTGTTCTGTCATCTGGTACCACTGAGAACACTCTAGATCCATTCTCTTTGGAATCCCCCTTCAGGTAGTTGAAAGCAGCTATCAAATCCCTCCTCATTCTTCTCTTCTGCAGACTAAACAATCCCAGTTCCCTCAGCCTCTCCTCATAAATCATGTGCTCCAGCCCCCTAATTATTTTTGTTGCAATCCACTGGACTCTTTCCTCTTTTCCCACATCCTTCTTGTAGTGTGGGGCTCAACACTGGACTCAAAACTCCAGATAAGGCCTCACCAATGTCGAATAGAGGGGAATGATCACGTCCCTCGATCTGCTGGCAATGCATCTACTTATACAGCCCAAAATGCTGTTAGCCTTCTTGGCAACAAGGGCACACTGTTGACTCATATCCAGCTTTTCGTCCACTGTAACCCCTAGGTCCTTTTCTGCAGAACTGCTGCCTAGTCACTTGGTCCGTAGTCTGTAGCAGTGCATGGGATTCTTCCAGCTTAAGTGCAGGACTCTTCACTTGTCCTTGTTGAACCTCATGAGATTTCTTTTGACCCAATCCTCTAATTTGTCTAGGTCCCTCTGTATCCTATCCCTACCCTCCAGCGTATCTACCACTCCTCCCAGTTTAGTGTCATCCACAAACTTGCTGCGAGTGCAGTCCATGATATCCTCCAGATCATTAATGAATGGAAGGGAAGAAAGGGGGCGCTGAACTGGAGCTGGTCGCCAGAAGGGGGCGCCACGCTCAGAGTTACAGACCCCAGCCCGATGGGTCCCCTCCCTGTTCTGGATACACCCAGCACCACCCCTCCCATGGCGCACTAGGAGAAGGGTGGGTGGGCTGCACCCAGTGGAGTGCAGGGGAATTGGGGGCTGTCCCTTTAAACTAGTTTCTTTGCTCTCTGGTTGCGCTCACGGGGGTCGATGGCAGAAGCCCGCAGACCCCCACATGCGGCCGGCCCTGCACGGCTGGTAAACGGGTTGTTTGGAATCCAGCTGGATCCAGGGGATCCCCCTATTCCTAACACTGCGCAGTGAGCGGCAGCCCCACAACGTCCATTCCCGGACCCTGCTGTGACCCCCAGGCCCAGGGCCCCGCGGGGCGAATCCATCAAGCCCAGAGACAGATGACACTCACTGCCGATCCGGCCTGTGGAAGCCGAAGCTGGAAGAAACGCGCCCAGCCTGACCCCCAGCATAGCCCCAGCCGGAGTCGCCACCCAGTGGGTCACCAATCCGGCCCCAAACGGAGGGGACTTTACTGCCCTCTCTGCCTCCTGGGGCCTTTCACCGCTGTGTAGAGTCTGATCTGACAGACGGGCCCCGCCTGCCCGGGCACAGAGAGCCCTGCTGTGATCTAGCCAAACGCTGGAGGGCCGTGCACCCGCCTGGCTGCCAACGTGCCAGCTGCCGGGCAAAGGGGGGATACACGGGGGATGTCGGTGCTCCATAGTGCAGCGGGGTCACTGACCCCATGCAGGGAGCTTGGTTTTCTACCTAGGGACCAGGCTTGTACGTGCAGAGACACACTCATTCTGGCCATTAAGCTCTCCCCGATATTTATCCATAACACATTTGCTTCTCACAGAAATCCTTGTGGCTAAAATCCCCTTCACCTGGACATCAGCAAACAAGTCAATCAGTGGGGAGAGTCAAGAGCGCTCACAGATCCTTCCCTTGGGCCGTGTTCCAGCAGCTCTGTCTCAGGCTCCCCTTCTCTCTCTTTCCCATGACAGCGTTTTGCTATTTCCCGCTACGCCCCTTCCCCTCGGTCGTTATTTGCATAAAGGCAGCACCCAGCGCGCTGCACACACACTGCCATAAAGAGCTTGTGGTCTAAAGGGACAAGAGGTGGGAGAGAAAACTGTGGCAGGGAATTGCCCAAGGACACCCAGCAGTAACAGAGCTGGGACTAGAACCCAAGTCTCTTGAGTCCCAATCTCATACCCTACCCACTAGACCTGTCACTTTCAGCTTGTTTCTTCCATAGAAGGCCAAGAATGTGTCTCCCCTGCCTCACCAGGCAGATTTTACCCTCTGCTCCCCCTCACTGAGAGGAGCTCTGTGTCTCCTGGCTCACGGCTGGGAGTGCATCAAGGCTGGAAAAAATCCCTTGTTTCTTTGGCAGGAAACAACTTTTGCTCCATTGTTAAACCTCTTGGAAGGGAACGGGCGTATGCCATGCCTGTGAGGGGGCTTGTATGTGCCAGCCTCTAGCAAAGCCTGCTGAGCCACGGAACAAAAATAAATAAGTAGAGATAGCCTATCTCCTAGAACTGGAAGGAACCTTGAAAGGTCATTGAGTCCAGCCACCTGCCTTCTCTAGCAGGACCAAGCACTGATTTTTGCCCCAGATCCCTAAGTGGCCCCATCAAGAATTGAACTCACAACCTGAGGTTTAGCAGGCCAATGCTCAAACCACTGAGCTCTCCCTTCCCCCCTTACGGAGAAAGCACATTTGTCCTGCTCTAGTGGCTGGTTTCCATAAGTAGATAGCCTGCTACAATGACTAGCTAATGGAGTTACTCCCTTAGCTCCAGCAGCCGAGCTGCGTGCCTTCAGCAGACAGGTCCTAGGTTTGATTCGTGCTAATGACACAAACTAGTTCCTTTATGATGCCAGCTCCTTCCCCTGGCTTAACAGCTGCTGAGGGTTCGGTTAATGGGGTTCCAGAAACTAATGGGCTTGTTGAGCCCAAGCTGTATTAAAGGTTGATCCAACACAGAGTCCTTGGCTCCATCTCAGCCCAGTTTGCTTTGCAAAGACCTGACCTGCCCCCACCTCAAAGCTCTGCTACGAAAGAGCATCTTGGGCTCTGATTGCAGCTGCAGGTTTGGGGGGATGTTGCAGCTTCTAATGACGTCCCCAGCGCCCTACGCTGGTGCCGCGGTGGAATTAAGCAGCATGTCAAGAGACATGGCGACCTTCAGTCCCCGGGCTCAGTTTCCAACGTGTAAGACAGGCTGGGAGTCAGAACAGACACTTTGCCCGGGTGTGGCGCAGAGAAAGAGCGAGAACTCAGAGCAACCTGGTTAGTTTCCCCATCCAGGCATGGGGTTAGTTTCAGAGATCCTGGGTAAGCTCAGTGGCCGTGCATTAACAGCATCGCCAACACCAAGCAATCAATAAAAGCCCCAAACTGTGAGCCAGGCTGCCGAAAAGCCATGAGGTTGGTTTAAAAATCACAAGATTTTAAAAAAAAAATCCGTTTTGGCTTCGTTTTGTTTGACTCTGGTTTGGGAGCTGTCGGTCACCCCAGCATAACGTTTGGCAGTTTTTTTTTCCTCCAGGCCCTAATTTTGATTTTAGCCAAAAGCAGAATCACATGACTCCGGGAGGTGGGGCTTTAAGGAAAAGCCACGCGTTAGCAACACTGCAGAAAAGCCAGAAACATCATGCCTTTGTCACAACTGTTTCCAGCTCCCATTGTACCTATGCAGATCTTAGACGTATCCCTTTGACTCTTCCCAAATCCCCCACTGCATTTACACATGTAATTCCCTGGCATGTTGATGCAGTTCCCGTGGGGCTCACAGATTGTGGCATTTAGCTGGCACTCGTCAATGTCTGCAAGGATAGAGAAAGCGCTGGGTCAGGCTGATCGAGGAGCTGTACCTTGGGCACTGGGGTGATGCTGCTGGGGGATAATCCAGGCGTCCGACATGCACCGTGCTCTGGGGAGACGGGGCTGGTTAGAGCCAGGAGTTCAGTTACTGGGTCAGCGACCAGGAGCGAGTTGGCTATTGTCTGGAATGAGCCGCTCCAGCTGGGAAGAGAAAAGCAGCCCTGCCAGGACACGCGCCTGCTGCTTGCTAAAGCTACCAAGCGGATCTGGCGATGCCCAGTGCCGCAATATCAGTGCAGATGGCAATGCCTGAATGAGCCGTCTGCCCCTGGAAAGGACAAATGGGGAGCTGCTTTGGAGGAAGGGGATAGAAAATAACATGAGGGCTAGTCTAATGCCTTGATATCAGTCAGTGATAGAAGGGACGCCAAGCGCTCGGTTCTCGGTGGTGCGGCCAGAGCTCTCCCCTCCCTCGGGCACATGGGTGTCCCGCGGCTTCCAAACTCGCTCTGAGCTGCAGGGAGCTCTGAGATTGGGTGTCTCTAGGGGTTTAAGTCCATGGGGAAATTGACGGGAACAGCTCCTGTGGAATCGCTCCCCATCTGGACACTCTGGTCTGGAATAATCAGTGCGCTTCCAAAGAGAACAGCGATCGCCATCAATTCCCCCGGGGACAAGCCCTAGGGATTCTCCGCACGGCTCCCGATACCAGCTATCCCCGGACAATCCCCAGGACGCTGGCTGAGATACCTGCAGCGCTGATTTCTTCTTGTGCCTAGACCCGCCCCAGGACACTGGCTGGGGTTATCCCACGCGGCCGGGGACTGGGCGCAGGAACGGCTGGGCGAGGTTTCTGCCAGGGGAAGCGTTTGAACCAATGGGCTCCTGAGTTCTCCCAGTTCGACGGGCCTGGTGCTCTGCGCCCCCCAAACAGGGGTGTACAGGGCAGTTTCCATGGGAACGGCCGGCTAGGACTTGATACAAGCTCTAACTACCGGCTGAACGTCGCAAACAAGGGCCTGGAACGCCCCGGCCCCTTCTCCAGTCAGGCCACCCTGGCTGCCTAAGGGGGCACAATGGCCCCCTGGGGAAACACCCTCCCATCCAGGGGGCTCCCTGTCACTGTGGGGCTGGAAAAGGCTCTGCTCCCAGCCCTGAGGGAGGGGGCAGATTGGGGGCGTGGACGGGGTGCCCTGTGCTGGGGCTATTCGCTGCTCCCCAGGGCCCATAGGGGGCAGAGCGCACTGTGCTGTATGTGGACCATACACGAGGCCCCTTCCCAGGATCAGGGACACTAACAGCCTCTGGTGCAGCGCCAGACCTTGGGATGAGCATTTGTGTGTGCGAGGGGGGGTTTCAGCAGGTTGGGGCCAGGGGAGAGCTCACCCTGGTAGGTGTTCTCACTCGCGTGCTTGAAGTTGGCCTTCCCAGACCTGGGCTCGTAAGCATCGATGCAGGTGCAGGAGTAATTCCCAAGTACATTGGTGCAGTTTGCGTGGGATCCGCAGTCTGCCGGACTTGGACCCTGACACTCGTCAATATCTGCAGCATAAGGGGGGACGTTCTGTGCAGTCCTGGCAGGGAGATGTTCCTGTATCACCCACCTGTACTGAGCTGGGTAATGGGACTGAGGTGATCAGGCCCCTGGGAGCTTAACAATCACAGGCCTGATTCTCAGCTACACTCAGGCCACACTAGGCTGCTCCGGCAGCGGAACGGCCACTTGAGAATATGGTGTATTGAAAACTGTTAGCATCACAAGCTCTCACTTTACATCTGCAAGGGGCTTTCCTGGACCTGCTTGCGGGCTAGGGGGCTTGGGTGACAAGCATGTGATCTGGGTTTTCAGCAGTGTGTCTGCCAAAGAGCCCAGCCTAGAGCAAACTGGGGTTAGTTGTGCCTGTCTGCATTCAGGAGCAGCCTGCTTTGTCTCGCTCTGTTTGGGGTCCTCGTGTGCTGGGGTTCTGGATTCTAAGAAATAACCCTGTGTTGATCTGCAGCCTGCCAGCGAGACGATGTGATGCATTGATTCTAACTGTGTGTGTGTGCCGTGAACATAACAGAGGGAAGGAGACCTTCTGACCCCTGAACAGCCACTGTGGCCTCTACGGGCCAAGCCCCAGTGGGGCCAAGATTTGGGGAGACGTAGGAGTCCATGTGTGAAGCTGATTTGCCCAAGGGGTGGGAACACTGGGACTTGGCAGAAATCCCCCTCAGGTTTCAATCACAGAGGAACACACAGGCATTGCCAGCCTGGGTCAGACCCAAGGCCCATCTACCCCAGTTTCCCGTCTGCAATGGGTGCTACAGAGGAAGGTGTAAGAGTCCCGCAGCAGGAGCCGGGGGATAATCTGCCCCTATGAAGGTCTCTCCTGGTCTCTAATAGTCAGAGGTTGGTTTAAGATCTGAAGTGGGAGCTTTTCCCTCCCAGAATTATTGTCCATTAACTAGCACAGCTCCAGGCATTGTCGTTCCCCATAGAAACAGCAAGTCCCTCTTTAAAACTCAACACATTCACAGCCTCCAGGCTGCGGTAGCAGTGAGTTCCAGAGGTTACTACTTCCCTGTGCGGAGGAGTTTTTCCTTGTATATGCTTTGAATTTGCCCCCTTTTCAATTCAATTCAATCCACAGACTGCCCGTGTGTCCCCGTGCCATGCCGCTGGAAGCCAGGGTGTCTCAGGGAAGCCTGGGGCTGGGCTGGCAATGCCAGTACCAGCACATGCCCCCTCCCAGCGCTGCCCTAGGGGAGCGACATGGAGTTGGAGCAGAGAGAGCCTGGAGCAGGGGTCTGGTACAAGGCCCGAACCGAAGTCAGCAAAAGTGATGCTCTGATCAAAAGTCCGGCCCTGTGGGACACTGAGCCAGAAAGGGTTAAGCAACTTGCCGGCTAAATGACCCAAATTCTAATTTTAAAGCCATACTAGAAAAGTAGACTGGAGCTGTTCAAGAACACTTTAGTCCAATTGCCAGAGCTGTTCCCGGGGCCACTTCCCAGGCTCAGTGGGGCACTAGCAGCTCAGATGCTGCGTGCTAGGGCCAGCTCCCCTCTCCCCAGCACATCTCTGCAGCACTAGGAGTTTGCTCCGTGGGTCTCTTTCTAGCCCGAAGGGTTTATTCCCTGTCCAAGTGCCAGGCACAGGAGTGAGCCCGGCCCCATGCTCTGCGGGAGCAGGCGAGGGCCATGTCCCATCAGAGCCTCGCTGATGGTCTCGGGTCACTGCCAAAGCTGCAGCAGCCCCGGTGCAGCGCCAGGCCTGGAACGAGCATTTGTGTGTGCGAGGGGGGGGTCTCAGCAGGTGGGGGTCAGGGGAGAGCTCACCCTGGCAGGTGTTCTCACTCGCGTTCATGAATTTGGCTTTCCTAGAGCTGGGCTCGTAGCCATCGATGCAGGTGCAGTAGTAACTCCCAGCCACGTTGGCGCAGTGTGCGCTGTGTCCGCAGTCTGGCGGGCTCGGCCCCAGACACTCGTTAATATCTGTAATGCAAGAGGGGACGCTCTGTACAGTCCTGGCAGGGAGATGTTCCCCGTATCACCCCCCAACCCCCCGCACTGAACTGGGTGACGGGACCCAGGTGACCGGGGCCCTGAGCGGTTAGGGATTAAGGCCTTGATCCTCAGTTTCTCATTTCTGCTGCTGGAATGTCGGAAGCAGCCCCCGAGCCTCCTTTCCAGGTATGGGGGGTGGGGGGTTGATTCCAGAAACACCCAGATCCCCCATGTGAGGGGAGTGTGGGGAGACGTCCCCTGGGGCTCCAGGCTCCCTGTGT